GGGGGGGGGGGGGGGAGGAAATTTTACATAAGAGGACCAAAAGCATGTCTCGAAGGATCAATGGATCATACGGTAATTCGAGGAACGACATCATACAGGGTGGGTGGGAGTGCCTGTCCGTTTGTTAGCGAGCCAAACGCCCCAGCGGTCCACGCAGATCTCCCATACCCCCAAGCTTGAGACTTAGTCATGAATATCACATTTGCATATTGCAAAATTGCAATGGTGCAAGACAGCGTGTATATTTTTCTGTCAGTATATAAAATAATTCTTAATCTAAAGTATATATATGGCTTCCACATTTTCTCTTTCCATTTTTCCTCGCCTCTTTTTCACCTTTCCAAAAAAAGAAGACGAAGAAGCTATCAGTAGTAAAAGATTGATGAATTGATCAGTTGCACAAAATTAGGAAACGAGGAGGCAGGGGGATGACAAGGTAATCGCATGTATAGAAGAGGAAGCAGATAAACTCATAACTCAACCTAAATATGCGAGGAAAAGAAGACTTGGACCAGAGAGGTGTTACTGTTCACTAATAAACCGAGAGGCAAGGAGACTGACCAGAACTAAAGGTGCCATAGGTATAATATCGCAGATCACAAAAATCAATGTGATCCTCGGATGCTCCATAGTTCCATACCATCTACAACCACTACTTAAAAGCTACCACTCTCTTAAGTTACAATACAGGTAGACAGGTAGGTATAGGTAGGTAGGTAGGTACACACGCCTCGAATTCACTTTACCTGTTAATTTACCAAATTCGTCCAAGATCTCCTCTTTGCCTTTTGACTTTGGTATGTTCCCCACGAAAAGTCGTAGATTAGGAACGCTAATGTTTACTTTCAGACTCTTGCCGGGTTTTATTTCGTGATTATCGAGCTGTGGGATGAAGAAAACAGACACATGCCTAATTTTGTTCCAATGATGGGCGGTTCGTTTTTAAGATAATTACGACGAGATGGCGGATTTGTTTTTTTGCTTTTCGGGAAAAATTTCAAAAATGTGCAATTTAGTACAACTAATTAACATGTCGATCCATGAAAGCGAGAAAGTGGCATGCGCTTTGTCGCTCGAGTCTTCACAATATAGCAAACCGGCGTTCACGGTATCATTGTATTCCTGTAAACAAATTTTTAGCCTACTAATTTCCAAAATTTTGTTACAAAAATTGTCACTGTCCAATGAGAGTCAACCAATTAGGTAAATATACCCCTAACCAATTAGACCACACAATCATCGTGATTTTCAGAAAGGTTCTCCACTCCCAATTTTGCCCACTGAGCAAAGAGGAGAGCTGGAAAAAGAAACTCATCCATAGGACGTCATTAATATATATTTCTCAGTGTTACTCAATATTTGGGATCAGTTGGATATAACTGTGTACTTAAACACGAATAAATGGTCAGGGACATATACATGTGAAACATACATTATGTGGATTGTTCCTAGCTATAAATATATATATATGTATATATTTATATATCTCAAAGGTATAAAAATTATAAAGAAATAATAAGAAAAAATGACATAGACTTGAAATAATAAAATGTTTGCATTAAATCTACTAGGAGAGACAAAGAAATATAATAGACAATACAGAACAAGCCACATAGGAATACAGTAACAGTCATTCGAAATGTTCAGCAAAGAAAAGCAAATTCTCAAAAACATAGTCGACATGGACGTATACACATCACACTTTACTATATTCTTGTTCATCAATTAACATTGTTACGGCTATATAGGTTTGAATAAATTATTATCTGTAAACTGAGTCCATTCATAGGACGATAAAAGAAAAAAAGGAGATATTTTCTACAAGCCAAAATGATGTAAATTTCACGAAACATATAATACAATTTTGGGTCAATTGGTTTATAAACATTTCGAAGGATCGCATATCTTGGTAGCAATAACAATTTTGTAACATTTCCAAAAATTTTGAAAATAAAAAAATAAAAAAGGGTCCAGATTGTCCATAGAGCGGCGCGTTAATAACTATAGGGTAAAAAATAAGTTTATACATCATGTACCTACACAATAATAATAATAGATCTAAGGAAAGATATTAACATACCTCTCGGACAGCTTGCTGCGCAGCATCCCTGTTAGTAAATGTGATAAATGCGTATCCTCTGTTGGAACCTGACATGGGGTCCATCATCAGTCTCAAGTCCCAAATTTTTCCGCATTTCTCAAATAATGGAATTAATTCGTCTTCGTACATGTCTTTTGGGATTTTGCCACAAAATACCTTTTCACAGAAATATTCGATGTAATAAATAAAAAAAAATATTTCCGCGTAAATATATAACGTTTAACGAGTATTTCGAAACTGGCAAAATTTCATATGTATTTTTTAACAATTATTGCAGAGATGTGGGATTAAATCACTTTTAGTATACATGTGTGACGAAATCTCCAAACACATTTTGAAAATACTATTTAAAATAACTCTAATTTACGTATAATAAAATTGTGCCTAAAAATTTCCAAGATGGAAAATTCCAATGATCGCGTACTACGTGTGTCGGAATATTTATAATATATTCATAGTAGAAAGCGTTATGAGTCATCATGAGTGACGTTTACGCGTTAAATTTATTAGAAAATAAAAAGTTAATACAAGTTCTACTTGACATAAATAAATGTGTATATATAAATAAATAAGTTTACCTCACAACCAGTTCCAGGCGTAGGACCCTCCCAATTTGGCGGAGGACCACCGTATTTTCTTTGTCCAGTAGTTACATCCAAAGGATATCCTGTTCTCTCCAAGATCATCTGAAAGTATTCGTTTTAGCGATTAAACGATGTATCTAAGCAGACAACTCGGAGAAGTAGAGAGAATTGTATTTAGAATCGATGGGATGTGTAACTTCAAATCACCTTGATTTTGTCCTCATCCGGGGCTTTCGGTGTCGTGCTGGTGCCCGTACCCTGGCCGGCACGACTCTTCTGTCGGTATGTCTTCATCACTCCGCAAAGATAGGCGGATTTGTTGGATACATGTTCCAGGTTGGATTCTAGAAATTGCGTGAGTACATTTAGCGCACCGTCAACTGGGAATTCCTTCAGAGCGTCGAGAGCCCTCTCGTCCAGGTCGACGTGAGCCAATTTCCCTGTCTTGTAGATCTCATCCAGTTTGGCAGCCACTTTTTCATCCAGTCCATATTGCATGAGTTTGTTAAAGTCTTCTGTCCGTTCCACATATTCCATTTCCTCCTTTGACTGTTTTTCTTCCATTTTTATCTCCCCATTCCCTTCTGCCATAGCTGGAACAATAACATCTATTATTGTTAATCACAGCCTTTTATCTTTTTTTGATGTTCAAAGCAATATATAAATTATTTATTTTTCTGGTTCAACTTCATTTTCATAACTCATATTGTAAAAATATGTAATCTACCTACGACACAAAAGAAACAACACAGCAGCGAAATATATATCAAGTGACGATATGTCTTCTCTCATTATAGCACAAGCAAGGAAATATATCGAACAGTTAATCTTGTATTCAATGCAAAATTAGCTACATTGCCTAATACACGAGAATGACTATCACGAGTAAACAACATATACATACGTATATATATATATATATTACGTCAAATTTATCTGCTGATGTATTTTTTTTTGCATCGAATCACCGCACATATCAACTGATATTCGCTTCGCTCGCTTTCCTAATGACGAAACAAAGAAACGAGAAAAAAAACGTTTCGAAAAAAAAAATTAAATAATTTCCGACTCATAACCAAAAATATGCGTAAATACGACAGAAGGAAATCGTTGTTGAAAAAAAGAAAAGGAACTATTCAGAGTACAAAGTTGCGAAAAGAACCAATAAGCTTTGCAACGCATGCAATATTGCACTTACAAAAAAACTATGACTCACTGCATATAATTGTCATGCTTACTTTAACGAACTGGTAACAGTCTGTAGCGAACTTTGTTAATTACGCTTCAATTAAACTCACTCTCCCAAGAACGCGCTCGTCAAGGAAGAAGACTACATCTAGAGCGAGAGAAAGGGAAAGAAAAAAAAACGCGCTTTTCGAAAAATATGTTAAAAAGCTCGAGAAGAGAGAGAGACAGAGAGAGAGGAAAAAACCGGCGACTCCGGCGAGGGAGAGAAGAGCGGCGCGAGCAATAGAACTCCTATTCGCTGCGATCGCGCAATCGGAAATGCACGCACGACCGCGGCGGAGTGCGAGACGACATGGAGGAAGCCGCCGTGTGCGGATGCGACGTCGATATTGGCGCGTTCCGCTGCGAGAGTCCGCTGCTGGGACGGGAGATTCTCGGCAGCGAGGAGCGACCGACAAAGAAGAGACGCACGTCACGGGCGAGTTCACGTCGCGAATACTCGGACGTCGTCGCGGAGGGACACCGCGAGGCGGGAGAGGAGACAAGAGACGGGCGATTTCGCGCGCGGCCGTGCACACCGCCGTGCATCGTACGTTATCGATGACACTCGCGTGCGGCAATTAGGCGGCGACGATGACGGCGACGACGGCGGCGGCGGATAGGAATTTGCGCGGCAAATCGGGCCGCGGATATTCACTCGTCCGTTCTTTTCTCGCCGGCTCGCTCTCTCTCGTGCTCTTGGCTCGCCGGCCGGCAATGCAATCACACGTTCACACGACGGCGGCGGCGGCCGCCATGGTACGAATGCACCTATATGCACTCGCGATCGCGCCGTTTTCGGCGCCTCCGGGCCGACCGCAATTCGCACTCGCGCTCGTTAAAATCGGACGCGAACGCGATGTCGCGACGGCGGGACGGACGGACGCTCAGGTCGCGACGACGGGCTCGACGGCAGATCGTTACCTTGCGAAATAAAACGGACGGCGGTCCTCCGCGCGAGGAAATGGCGACAGACGTCAACGTGACCGCGGACTACGGGGTTCACAAAACGACGCGCAAAGATACGCTCGAACCCAGCGACACGACGTTGGCCATTTTCTCGCAGCGACCGCGCTCGCGCGAATTCTGATTGGCGCGCGCGAAACGGCCCGACGGGAAAAAGTCGGCCGCCTCGTCGGAGTTGTACGATCACAGAGTGCGCTCGCGAAGCTCCCGCCGCCGCCGCGGCGGCAATCGCTCGCTCGCTGGCACGCACGCACACATATGCAGATAACTCACATGCGCACACATACGTGCTATGCGCGGGACGATGATAACGCGCGCGTTCGAGGTGATCACGCGGAACAGAATATTCGCGAACGCGCCACGAGGTTATCCTCATGGAATCGCGAAATTAGACAGAGAGGGAGAAGAAGCGAGGCGAGTAGGCCTCTCGCTCTCTCTCTCGGCGTGCTGCCCGCGCGCGCGCGCGCATACACTTACATACAAACGCACGCGGCACTAACGTGTATATTCTCGATGAACGTCACGCGAGATCGGGAATATATTCACGAGGACGAGAAGAGGTTAGTCAGCCGAGAAGTCTCAGAATCGGAAATGTACTGGCCGTCCGTGTATCGTCTCACGACGAGCTTCGCCATTCTCGCGCGCGCCCTTTCCTCTCGCGAACACACGCCATTGTAAGCAAAACGCGCGAGGGCATTCCGGACGACCGCGATCGCTGCCGTCCTCCGTGGTATCTCGCGAACAAAATTCTGCCCGGTTATCTCGCAACCGTACGAACGCCGTTCGACCGCGCGGCGACCGCCACCGCGTGTGTATTTCGCACCATCGCAGGTGCGGAAAAAGCGCAAGGTGGAGAGGAGACTCCCCCCGGGCTCTTGCGGCTTCCACGAGGCACGCAGACCTCCGAACGATTCTTTTATGCTATATCGAGGACCGTCGACGGCGTCGGTTACCGGCCGGCGCGAGCCCGCCAAACGTGATCGTGCGATGCACTCCGCTACGGAGAAGGAAGGAGCTGTAATAATTAGCTCGGCGACGAGGATCTCTCTCGCGCACGCAATGCACTTTCGTGATCCCAAAGATCTCGAATTATCTCCCGGCCCGTTTCGCATTCGAGCGATCCGTCCGTCCGAATGCGAAATATCCTCCTCCTCCCTGAGCGAGTCGTTCCACGGCAAAGCGAGATACGCGGATAGTCTATTGAGAGAAGAAATATGCACACTTATCGGAAACGAGGAAAAAGCCGAGCGATCCACACATACGCGCGTCCTTTTTTTGTCATGCCTTCGCGTATTATAACCTCCCACATGTTGAACGTCGCGCGACAGAGAGAGAGAGAGAGAGAGAGAGAGAGAGAGAGAGAGACAGAGAGAGACAGAGAGAGACAGAGAGAGAGAGGAGAGAGGAGAGAGAAACGCGTCGATGCACCCGTCCGGTTACCTCGCGCGTAGACAAAGCGGCGGCTCCGCGTAAGTCGCGACAGAAAGAGAGAAAGAGATAGAGCGAATGCAACATAAAGATAGGAAGAGAGAGAGAGAAAGAGAAAGAGAGAACAGAAAGATATATTAATGAAAATACGTGTGTACCTGTGCCGAGTTTGTACTCCTCACCGGTAACAATTTAGCGGGGTCGTTGCGACGGCGAAACACCAGGAGACGACGACACAAGAAAACAGTCAGGATCTCCCGTCGGGTGTAGTAAAACTCATATTAATTGGCACGTCACAGTTCTTTCTTGCCGCGTAGCGCGCGTTCCTCGCACTTCAGAATTGACGACAGCCAGCAGCGGCGGCGGCAGCGGCGGCGGCAGCGGCGGCGGCAGCGGCGGCGGAGGCGGTGACGGTGGCACTCGCGGTTACGTTCACGCCGTTGCGCGTAGACTGCACCGAGAATATATGCGAGCGCGGCGCGCAAGCGACACGAGGGGGTGGTAAAAGACGATCAGCGGCGGCAGCGGCGGCGGCGGTGGCTGCTGCTGCTGCGGCGGCGACGACGACGACGACGACGACGAGAGAAACGCCCGTTTATCGCGTGGCCGTGCGTGTCACGGTTGCGACGGTTTTTCGAGGTACGGGTTGAATTTAGTCGCGTAGGCACTTGCAGTGTGATCGACCGTCACGGAACGCACGATACCGCGGGGGAGAGAGAGCGAGAGAGAGCGATCGTGCGAGCGAAACAAGACAGGCGGGCGAACAGACACACTAATTCCGTGATGTTTTACTGACGACAGCGACGGCGGCGGCGACGACGGTGGCGATGATGATGATGATGATGACGACGACGAGGCAACAATGATGATTATGACGACGATGACGACGAGACTACGGTGAGTGGAGTTTAGTGGCCCGGGCGCAGCGTTTTGATATCGTGTAGTGCCTACATAGCCGTGATGCATAAATTGGACTGCCTCGCTGAAAGAGCGGTGCAGCGGTGCAAGCCCCACAAAACCGAAACCAGTTTGATCGCGCTCGCCGCCGCGTCGCGCCCCAGCCCAATCCGATTCAACCGCTTACCTCTCTTCGCGGTATCCGCGGGCCCCGCCTTACAGTCAGGGCCGTCGCGAGGGGCCCGACTCGCCCTGGCCACCTTCGACTGTTCAAACCGACACGACACGGGGACGGCAAAATCCCGCGGTATGAGCGCGAAAAATCTCCGACCGCCGTCTCGTATTCTCTCCCTCTTCCGCCACCTTGTGCACGCGGAGACGCAAAGATGCTTAGAAGACATCCTACAATTAGAATCCACATGCTTTGCTTACGTAGAGATGGGTAGAAAAAAGATATATATATATATATATAGAAAGAGAGAGAAACGTTGTGTAAAATTCCGTTTTAGAGGCGCTCTCTTCATTTGTGTGGAAATATTACAATCTTGATTCACACAGTAGAAATGTCCGAAATACATCATAGAGATATTTTATGAATGTCGCGATATTTTTACCCTTATGATATATTTTGGACTGTATTTCTGCTATGTGCAATAAGTTTGTTAAAGGAGATGTAAAGTGGGATGTTTGTTAAGTTCACATTATATAGTAATCCGCGAGGGCGCCGAACGGTTTGGAAGACCCCGGAGAATAATCGAGTGCTGAACAGGCTGCGCGTTGTGTCGCTACGTTAATTACCGTGCTCAACCGATCATTGCTTCTATATGTTGTAGCTCTCGCGCGCGCATCGATCTAGGTCATCGCCGCAGCTGAACCTTACGAAGAGTTGAGGGAAGTCCGCGACGCTCTCCGTTGCGTGTCCTGCGAGGGGAATATGAGAAAAAGTACGTAGGGACCGCGCCGCGCGCTCAATTTCTCGGTATTGTATCCTCGAGAACTCGGAGGAACAGCAGCCACGCGAACGTTGCGAAAATTCGAAAATAATTCCATGCACTTCTCTCGGAACGGAACTCGGTGTGTACACGTTTCAGGTATTCCCCTTGTATCGATTTCGAACGGTAACTATCGGGCACAGCGAGGTTGCTACCACGCGGCCGGCCAAAGTTGCGACGTTATCTTATAGCGCGCAATTATGTGAAACTTTGTAAACCGTGACAATCCAATAAAGCTCGCGATGCAACGCACGTTCCATTTTCTATGGCCGCGGCGAACGAACGCGCTATCAAAACATTTCACGCGAGTTCCGATCCTTCTCAAGGACCCCGGCGCGAACCTGACCGCGAAACAGAGATAGAGAGTGAGATAAGGAGGGAGAGACGGAGGGGAAAGAGAGACAGAAAAAAGCATGCAAAAGATGCGCGCTTCTTTCTCTCGCGAGAGAACGGACCGAGGAACCTCGTGTGTCTCCCCCGTGTCGGCGAACACACCACCGGCAAGCGGGGAAGCAGAGCGAGGGGCAGTTTTCGACAAAACTGCAGCAAAGCGCGGCGAGGAAGAGACAAGCGTGACGAGAGATCGCGCGCGCGCGTCAGTACGTATATATCGTCCCTCTCTTTAACCGCGCGAATTTCACGCGGTGAATTGTGGGCGCGCATATGCACGCACGCACGCACATGCATGTGCGTGCGCGCGCGTCTGTGACCTCGGCGGTGCGTCTCCGCACGTTTCGCGCCTCGCAGCAGAAAGGGTCGGACGACGACTCGACCAGCTACGGCCCTGCGCCCAACTGTAAGCCACCCGTCTGGTCGGGAGCACGCACCCGCGTCCCTCCGACGGCGCGACGCGGCCCGACGAAGCGAGCGAGTGAGACGGAGAAAGAGAAAACGAGACAGACAGACAGACAGAGAGAGAGAGAGAGAGAGAGAGAGAGAGAGAGAGAGAGAAAGAGAGAGAAAGAGAAGGAGAGCGTGAACGCGTCGGCTCGCTCGCCCTGCAGAAACCTGTTCGGCTCGGAACTTTTCTACTTTCTTGGCGATTATTTTTATCTGCTGAGAATCGCGCGCAGGCAAGCAGGCGGGCAGGCAGGCCGGCCGGCCGGCCGGGTGCCGCGTCGCGTCGCGCCGCGCCGGCTCTGCCGGAAGCGGGCCATCCTGAAAACTATCAACGGTCGGACGGACGGACGGACGGACGGACGGACTGCCGGCCGGCCGGCCGGCCGCACTCTCGCCGCAAAAATTCAATTCTCCGTCGAACACCGTACGTACAGCGCGCTGCGCGCGCGGTCCTTCCTTTCCCGTCCCGTTTCGTCCTCTCTCGCCCCTTTTTCCCGCGTTGCCACTCTCCTCGCTCTCAACCCTCTCCTCCTCGCCGGCTAGTAGTCTCGCGTTCCTTCGTCTTTGTCCTCCCGGTCTGTCCTTGTCGCGCTCGTTCTCTCTTTCTCCTACTCTCTCTTTCTCTCTCTCCGCCTGTCTCTCATCTTTCTCCCGCTCGCCGACGCGATTCCTCGCGCTGTCCTCGTCATACCAATCGACCGTCTGCGCTGTGCAGACAATGCACTTTTTGCACGGCCTCGCGCGCCATTGTCGTGGGAGGTTGAAATTTTAGCGACGCGCGCCAGCGAATCTCCGTCCGCGTTTTCAGAGATTCGACGCCGCGACGCGACCCGACACGACGACGACTACGACGACGATGACGATGAGCTATTTGCGCGTATTTACGTATTCGCACGTGTGTTTCGCAATGCGCGCTCCATGTTGCGCTGCACGGCGAGACACGAGCCGTGCAACGTGTAAAACAGGCGTGCTCGCGCCGGCGGGAGAAGCTGCGCGGAATTATGATAATAACGATCGTCAGAGAGACGGATTTATTCGTATTCGCGTCTGTTTCTCGCGGAAAGCACGGCTCGGGGGACTACTTTTATTTTCTCTCGTTGACAAACAGGTTCTTTGGCCTCACGCGGAAATTTGCCGGGTTCGAGCGCTCCGACCGGACCCAGCTAGACGATCCGCTCTTTGTTTTTCGCCGATGGACGTATCTTCGTCTGCGACGAGCTTCCAACAATTTGAAGGGGAATAAAGAGGAAAGGAAGTATCTCGTGCCTCTGTATGAGACGGCGTGTATTTAAAGGAATCGGACGAAAATTCAATTATTCACAGAGAATCGCGAGGAACGGATGCATGTGGGTAGCGAGGCGCTTATACGCGAGGACACGTGGGAAGGAAAAGAAATGTAAGAGGATCGTAGCAGTCGGTCGGATATGCGACTTGCGTTAGTGCAGCTTGGACATCATGTTCAAGGATTAATTCAAGCATGTCGCCAACCATTTCCGCGGTACGCGTCCTAGGTTCAACACGCTTTACGCTAATCGATTCAATTAGATAATCTCCTTACGGAGCGTCGAACTTTGGGCGCGCATATATAGACGCGTCCCTGTATTTTCATCCACTTTCTGTAGTACGTACACTCTCGCAGACCGACCTTCAACGTGATAAGAATTATTTTCTCAAATCATACGCATGACTAATCTCCTCGTCGATTTGTAAAAATTAAAAGGTAATTTTTCATGACTATTTTTATATTTATTATATTTGTACATAAATACGATATAATAATAATTAAATAAATATAATGATGAAACTAACAAGATATGGAAGAAAAATGAGAGAAAAGAGAAAGGATGAAGAGAAAATAAGCCGAGCCATGAAGATCGGGCAGGAAAAAATAAAGGTATGTACAACTGAAGAAAAGTATAAAGTTTGGAATATTGTGTTTGAGGACGATATGTTACCTATTGAATGAAATAAGAAAGTGTAATTTATAAGAAAAAGGTGCAGATAGTGTAAAGGTTAGGAATGAAAATTTAAAAAATTATGAAAGAAGATAAAAGGATATTTAAATAATAAGAATGATATTATAAAGTATTTAGAGAGAGGAAATATGACTATAGAGATATGAGTAACTAAATAAATAGAAATAAGAAATGGATAGATGTATTTGGTTAAGGAATATAATTTTGAACCAAGTTTCCTTTTTAGCTATATAAGAAGAATATACTGAATTAAATAAATAATGATGTAATGGATATGAAAGGTGTACACAAATATAATAAATATGAGCTACAATTATATGAAAATAATTATATTTACAACTGTATAAAATTGCACATATTTACTTATTCTCCTTCGCTAAAATTATATAAAATAATTACATATTTTTTAATAATTACATATTATATAAATTACATAAAATTATATAATTATATAAAATATAAACCGACAATTATATAAAATTATATAATATGCTTAATAATTATATTTTAATAATTACATATATAAATTATATAAAATAATTACACCTTTTCATAAGTTATATATTTTTACTAGACACATATATTCGCATAATTTAAATATTTTATACAAATTGCAAGAGTGCATTTTTCATACTTGACATTGCAAACAAAATAGATCGTTACAGCTCATCTCATTGCTCTTGCTGATTTCACGCTCTTAATCGGAATAATTTAAAAATTGTGTCGATTCCTTTCTTTCCGGTGGATTTCCTTGCGAATGCGCAATTGCAGTTTCAGCTGTTGCAAGCGTGACGGACAATGCGTGGATTTCAGGTACCGGTGACGAATACCGCCGGCAGTGCACAACACGGGATACGTCCGCGAGAGCGGGTCTATTAGTAGAAGACGCGCACACCCCAAGTGTGCGGAGAGCGCATCGAGCGATGCACGGCGGCAGCTGAAAGAACGACCGACAATCGGCGAGGATTTTTCTTCGACGACGACGACGACGATGACGACGGCGATGACGACGACGACGACAATACTTAATGACCGCGTCGCGCAGGTTCGGTTTGTTTCCCACGTTAATATCGGCGGCAATCCGCACGCACGCGGTGCGTTTCGTTGCGAGGAGGACGAACAGGCAGGCAAGCAGGCAGGCAGGCAGGAGTATGTACGCTCTGCAGCAGACAGCGAGAGGAAGATTTTTCTCAGGAGGGGCCCCCCCGAACACGGCATAAACAGCGTGGCATTAACGGGGGCCGGACCCCCAGCGAGTTGTGCTGTCTCTTCTCTCCTCCGGCTCTCCTTCTTCGCGAAACTCGTTTGCGCGCTGAGAGAAATTCTCCCTTTTTCGCGGATAAATAGGGGTGAACCTGTATTGTGACAATAATACCACTGCCCGTGGAACAGCCGTGTAGTTCCCCCCCCCCTCTTTCTCTCTCTCTCTCTCTCTCTCTCTCTCTCTCTCTCTCTTCATCCCTCTTCTGGGGACGGGATGGACGACAGGGGAGGGTAGGAGGAGCGAAGGGCCCTCGGGGGGTCGTTGGACCAGGGCGCTATGTAGATTATCATAATAATAGCCGCCTAAATGTTATCTCGTATTAAGTCATACTTTTGTTTTCCTCTTACGCTCTGGGAACCCTTACCTCACGGCGACGCGGGGAAGTGCTTCTTTATTTCCGCGCGACGTAGCCGGCGGAGCACCCGGGTATATACGACACCCGTCGTGGGACGAGTCGGGAATCGCGCGTACGGGAGGTCCGAGACGCGACGCAAAAAATCGCCGGGTGGAATCGTAATTAGAATCTCGGCGATTTCGATCGGTCCCGGCCTCACGTTGCGCGTGCAGCGACGAGTCCCGTCGTTTTAGGTTAGCTCGCGGAGCGCGGGAATTTCGAAGCGCCTCCGCGACGGAAGGAGGAACTTTTCTTTATACATCGATCGAACAGATCTGTAAGATAATCCAAAATTTGCTCTTTGCAATCAACTATTACTTACAATATATTTTTTTAATCTATCTTTTCGCATGATTCTATCGCGCTTATTAACGGGAAATTATTGATTGTCGGAGCAAAATTTTTCGGACTATTTTACAGATTTTAAGTGTCTCGATTGTAAATGTCGTTTTGCGGATATATTTTCTTATTCCAATGTATTTCGCAAGAATTTTTAGCATGTGTTTCCTCGCTTCTGACGTCATTAAAAAGAGATGAACAATGCGAGTATCCACGAGTCTTAAAATAGTATTGCTTTGCGATAATATATTGCTAGAAATCTAGCAAACACAAAATAACAGCAACACAACTTATTAGTTATCATTTCAACAATGTAACTGTTACATCATACACGTGTTATGTTGCATTTACATTTTCGGAAAAAAAGGCTTAATTAAATTATATAATCATATAAAAAAAATATATAATTATATATAAAAATTAATATAAAAAAAAAAATATATATATATATATATATATATATATATATATATATCTAATTACATATGTCCATACATAAAACAAATATTATTGAATGAAAAACGAAAAACATAATTTGTAATCCAATTAAACATCAACATTATGGGCTACTACAAATATAAGCATTTACTTAAATTGTATCTTTACATCATACTTTTCAATGTGGACATATATAATTATATATAATTATACATAGTCATATATGAACAAAATTTATATATAAACTTTCCTTTTTTGTGTTGTTAAATGGGGAATTATAACTATCTTATGTGATTGTTACTTAGTTTTTAAATTATATAAAGCTGGGAAATTATATTAAGTAATGTTTAATACAACATGAAAAAGCTCTACAAATCTGTGCTAGATACTTATAGTTATGATTCATGATATTCAGTCTTAATACTATAGCCAGAAACTATCAATCAAGCTTACACAATTTTTAAAAACTCATAAAGAAATAATCGTTTCTCGCATTTTGATTTATTTAGGACGTTGAATTTTTTCATATTTTACCGTATTTTTCGTATTTTTACATATTGATTATATATCTTTTAGATTTCTTAACAATCTTATCTTTAAACAAATACTTAACCAATAGGTAAAGGATATAAAGGCATAACAAATAATAGTATTACAAAATTAGTACAAATTAGATATGCACATCTAAAAGATCTCTAAAAAAATAAGTTTATGAAACAATTATCTTGAGAGGCAAGAATGAAGGATATCATTCAGAAAGTTTACAGACACGTGGTCTAAGCTACTCCTTGAGAGAGACGTATTAATCAATCACTCTTATTATTAAGTCCTGCACAGAAAAAGAAAGAAAATATTCTTATTTTGAAAATATTTTTATTTCTATATGTAAATATTGAAATGAAATAACACATCGTTAAACAAAGATAAGGCAAAAATATCAATACCCAAATATATATCTACTCCAGAACATTCTTATTGTTTTAGTCTTTTAATTGTTTTAGTCTTTAAATAAGAATATTTAAACTTTCAACATAAAATATATATGTATAATATTTGTATGTATATTTTATGTTAAAAGTTAAAATATGTTATGTTAAAAGTATTAAAATATTTATATTTAAAAATCAAATACAATAAGAATGTCAACAAAAAGAAAATATGAAAGAAAAATATGTTCTTATTATTGCAAAATAAGTTTCATGAGTAAAAAGTACAAAATATTGAATTGAGAATATTTTTAAATTTGTGTATTGAGAGTATTTTTAAATGTCTCAGAAGAATATCATTACTATCAAAATAATCATACTACATTTCTTGTGGGACTATTATAATATTTAAATAAAATGATAACCTTGTTGAAATTCAAGACTTAAAAATTCTTTTAATAAAATTATGCGCTTATATATGAAACAATAATCGTTAATTTAAGTATATTAGGTTTAAATGAGTATTAAATGGATTCCTATATAAATGGATTCCTATGTGAATATTAAATCACTTCCTATATATATGTTCGTCGTAACTCTACATTAAGATAAGAAGAGGTCTGTTCTTTGTAACTGTGACTGTAAGTTTAACCATAGTTAAAAAATAAAATAGATTATATTTGAGAGAAAAGAGAGAAAAGCAGAAAAATTACAAGATGGTTCATAAAATATAGCTATAAAGAACAGACGTAAGGAATCCTTGTATCTTGTAGAAATATTCCGCATGGGTAATATTTGAATAGCTTTCCAAGTTCGGAGTTTACAAATGACTCCTGCTAACGGATCTTGTATTCACTATAATATCCGCGCTGAAAAAGCACCCGAATAGACACAGAGCTCGACTCTTCCCACTCTTTCGCCATTTTCCGTAATTTACGCGATTAAGTTAACTGTTATTTCTACAACAAATATACACAAGTCGTTATTTATTCCAGAAGAAAATAATTCGCATGTGTGTCCAACGATTTTTTTTTAAACAGACAGAAAGTGGTTACGTTCTTTATTCGATGCACGAATTCGCAGATGTGTCAAACATTACCCAGTAAACATGCATGTCTAAAAGATGTCGAAAAGATATCTAAAAGATATCTTATGTAACATTTTATTGCATAAGACGTCTTTTAGATATCTTTTCGACATCTTTTAGATATGCATGTTTACTGGGTAGTAACAAGATTTTCCAAGCGTTCGAATGTTTATAACTTTGTAGTGAGAGACGTAGACCACGTTTTTGTCTACTTTTGAAAGAAGTCAACACATCTATAGACTGACGTATTGACTGACGTATTGACATATTGATGCACTAAGAAAAATAAATTTGATAATTTATTTTGGGATATAAGTGGGATATAAGTGGGATATAAGTGGGATATAAGTATATAAAAGATAAGGATGTGGGATAAAAGGTATATATATAAAGTTTATTCGAGAAATAAACTTTATATCTCACAAATATTCAAGTATTTTTTTCCCAGTATGGACTTGGTGGCAGGCGATTCTTGGGTAAGAAATTGGAAAAATCGGCCTTCAGTCCCATAAATTCTTCTCACGTAATTCCACGGAATGCTGCTTTGAGCAGGAAACTTGACGCATCGAAAGTTAACATCAACGCGGCATATACCAGCCGGATGACGTCATAGCGCGAGCAATCGGGAAACTCGTGAAACGCGCCTTGCTCGACTGGGCGTGTTTACTCCGACGCGTTCGGTAGTCAACGCGTTCGCGGTAAGAGAATACGAGACAAACGTCGTAAAACGAATATCTTGGATAATTCGTGACAAACGCGAAGCAACACGTGCGACGCAGATCTCCGCGGGATATTGCCGAGAGAAACGAAGAGGAACCTCGAGCGGAAGGGAGTCGACACGCGCGTCTCAAGACCACAATGTGCCTATGAAGTGCTGATCGAAAGTGCCTTTAAGCAACGATAACACGCGGTAGAACTCGAGCCCGACTCGATAGCGAGAGTACGCGTCCTCTCCGCCGGAGATGGCCGTCACCCGCCACGCGACGCTCGTCGTCGCCTGTTGCTTCTGGCTGGGCGTTGTCGTGGTGCTCGGCCAGTACGAGTGGCAGAACCGCGACTCCTTCGACGAGATCCGCGCGAAGCTGGACAGGGTCAACCAAGAGAATTGTCCGATAGAGCACCTCAGCAATCTCTACCTGCCGGAGGACTCGGTGTCGCACCTGCCCGACATCAAGGACATTAATATCAATCCCGTGTTCCCGAATCGTACTGCCCTGCTGCACCTCCACAACATGGCCCTCAGCAGGGCCTTCTTCTGGAGCTACATCCTGCAGTCGCGCTTCATCAGACCCGCGATCAATGACACCTACGATCCGGGCATGATGTACTACTTCCTGTCCACAGTGGCCGATGTCTCTGCCAATCCCTATATCAATGCCTCAGCTATCTACTTCTCACCCAATATGTCCTACTCATCGTCCTACAGGGGCTTCTTCAACAAGACCATGCCTAGATTTGCACCACGTACCTTCAGGGCAGATGATTTCAATGATCCTATACATTTGGAAAGAATATCCACCAGAAATACATTCACTGTACAGGACCTCGGTATATATTCCACCAATGATCAACGCAGCAATGATTATACCACTGATTTGTATCGCCTGAACGAGTGGTAAGTGAAAGTATTTCTTGGTCAGCAGATATTCAGGTTTTAAAACTGATGGTTATAATTGGCTTATGTGTGCAAGTTAGGGAAAGCTTTTAAATTTGTAGAAGTAAATGATTGATAGATTACATTGGTCTACAAAAAGGAAACTTTTCGTGTCATATGGATCAAATAATGTGATCTGTGCAGTATTCTTTGCATTGAAAATAAAAAAATGCAAACATTTCTTCTATCACCCAAAATTTTCCAGTGATGTAATCTTTGAGTTTCAAGAAAATGTATTCTCTGTACATGTATGGTTTAATTTTCAATGTAGAAGCTGATAACTGTATTTGATTGTGGCTTGTGGTTTTTTAAAAATAAAAATATAGCTTTTATCATATCTTGTGTGCCTAGTTTGGGAAAAATTGTTAATTTTAATTAATTTTTATAGAGAAATATGTTGATTATATAGACTTTTGAAAAATACTCAATATTGTTTGTGTGTTGTGTGAAGTACTTCAATATAAAAAATTTAATATTAAAATTGTATAAAAATTGTATAAAAATTATACAGAAAATTGTATAGAAATTGTATAGAATGTCTCATATATAATATATTAAATCTCAGATGAATATCACAAAAAAGCTATGAGTAATAGACAATTTTAAATACATTTTCTAATTCTATATATAAGAAAACATAACAAATGTATTAGAAGTTCCATATGACAAATTGCCTGTTGACCAATGTTACCTAGATAGCACAGAGAATTAAAAAAAAATTCAGTTGTATGTCATCAATTCTGAATTCATTATCAGAATTCTTCAGAGTTTAGTTCAGTAAAAAGAATTCTTTTTGCATCTAAAAATAAACTTAGAATTGGACATACTGAATTCTTTTTGAATTCTCTGTGCTATCTGGATATCTATTCATTTGTATGACATTTTGTATATCAGTTGGCTGAAATTAAATTCACAGTGAATTCTTACAAATCATTCTTTCCACAGGTACAAGAAGTGGCTACCAGATCATGTTGACAGGAGACACGACACCAAAACAACTTATCAAGTTGAAATTCGATACGCCAACAACACGAATGAAACATTCACCTTCCATGGTCCACCTGGTAATAGGAGAACCAAAGATGATTTACAAAACCTGTGAATCTTTTTTTTTGGATTAGATTTGTTTCTCATCACAATTTATCTTTTAGGTGCGGAAGAATATCCTGGACCTGTGAAATGGACTAGACCTTATTTCGATTGCGGTCGATCCAATCGTTGGTTGATAGCTGCGGTATCGCCTATAGCAGACATCTATCCACGGCACACAGGCTTCAGACATGTCGAATATCCAACGTACGTGATACAATAATACAGTAGATATCTACATCTTGGAAGGGTTTTTCTTTATTTCTTTAGACTTTTTCCTTCCCTAAAGTACTGATATATCACTTTTTATGTGTAATAAAACAACATATTAATATACAATTGTTACAGGTATACTGCTGTCACGGTATTAGAAATGGACTTTGACAGAATAGACATAAATCAATGTCCCAAGGGTGATGGAAATAATGGCCCCAATAGATTTGCTAATACTGCAAGATGCAAAACGGATACTACAGAGGTGCACGCAACATCATAATACAAACTAATTAAATCACGTTCGTTAATTAATGATCGATCGATACTTATAATCTTGCTGTACATGCAGTGTGAGCCGATACACGGCTGGGGTTTTAGAAGAGGAGGATATCAATGCCGATGCAAACCCGGTTATAGACTGCCAACTGTCGTGCGACGACCGTACCTTGGGGAGATAGTGGAGAGAGCTACACAAGAACAATATTACAATGGTTTCGATTGCTCGCGTATCGGCTGTACGCATCTTTCTCCTTTTAATTCGACCGCGGCTATTGTTTGTGCAAAGTGCCCTAACAAGAACTTTTTATTCCTCAGGGATTCATAAGATGCCGGTACAATGGAATCAAGCAAAGACTTACACCAGAGAACAGTATCTCGAGCAGTATTATCACTATAGAAATCACTCAACCGGTCCGGCTGCGCTGCGCGACAAGCAGATGAATATCGACCAAGCTATCACTTTCATTCGCAGCGTGAATGCGAAGACTTGCAAGAAGTACGTAACCATCACGTGTGTAATGTAAACCGAGGTGTGACGTAAACAATATCTTTGAATATTGTTTCCAGCTACGCGCCGCAGGACCTGCAATTACGCGGCGACATTAGCTTTGGCGCGGAAGAATTCTTTGAAAATGAGGCTAAGATGGCGGCGCGATTAGCGAACTTCATCAGTGCATTCCTGCAAGTGTCCGACCCTCTGGAGGTTTATACCGGCACGAGAGTGGCCGACAAGCCGCTGACGGAAGATCAAATGATCGGAGAAACTTTGGCCCTGGTATTGGGTGACACGAAGATATGGTCAGCTGGCACTTTCTGGGACCGCAACAAATTTACCAACCGAACGTTCTTCGCTCCCTACGCTTACAAGACTGAACTAAACACACGCAGATTTAAACTCGAGGACTTGGCTAGGCTCAACGATACAGGTAAAAAGAACGAGTCTCGCGCGAGCTCGGAGTATGATCGATTTAAATGAATCTTCATAAGTTACTTTGCTACAAATTTTGTCGCAATAACAATTGTGCTTGCAGACGAAGTGTACACGAAGAACAGTTACTTCCAGACATTGAAACAACGTTGGGCGACGAACTTTGACGAGTTGGAAAAATATTACATGAAGATAAAAATCCGATATAATGAGACCGGAGTGTACCAGAAGAAGTACGAGCATTATCCGAATTTCTACAGGTAAGGAGAGCATGCCTCGCGAAATTGTTTATTGCGAAATTTATACGCGCTCCCGGCGACTGTGTTTTATTGATGCTTCCGACGATAAAGCACAGCGGAGCATTAAAGTATAAAAGGATTACGTTCCGGAGGCTGGGGGGGAATCTGATCTCTAAAGTACGATTTATTCTAATGTGTGGGAACGCGCATTGGGCCGTCCGTGTAGGGCAGCAAACCTGGACCATGGACACTGGACAACTCCGTACTTCGATTGTAACGGCAAGGTGAAGAAGTGGGTAATTACCTATGCATCCCCGTTTTTCGGCTGGGACAGCTTGAAGGAGAAACTGGAATTCAAGTAAGTGTTTCCCGCCGTCCGTGTGCGATCGCACGACGCGGCGTCGGGGGTTGCGTCCGCGTGTGTACACGCGCGTGCGTGTGTGTGTGTGTGCGAAATTCAGTGTGAGAGACACGTTATAGCGGGAAACCAGTTTCGTAATAAAAAAGAAGGGGGAGACGAGGAAGATCATATTTAACATTAAGACACTTACAGGGGTGTCGTAGCTGTTACCATGGACTTGCTTCAGGTAGACATAAACCAATGTGATGATAAATTTTACCGACCAAACGCATTCAAGGATACGCACAAGTGCCACAAAAAGACGTCATATGTAAGTCGACCTTGTTCGATTGTATTATGTTATTAGACAATCGTACGTCGGGGAGATATCTTTTGTGTAAAATTGCTTATATACCAACGCGCTGTTTCGTTATCATTTTAAAACGTTATCCACGAATTATGCTTTTGTATATAAGAAATAATGTGTGTATATAGAAGATAAATCTTAAATACGAATTTCTCAACTCCACAGTGTGTACCCATTCTTGGGAGAGGATTTGAGGTAGGTGGATACAAATGCGAGTGCAAACAAGGCTATGAGTACCCATTCGAAGATTTAATTACGTACTACGACGGACAATTGGTGGAAGCTGAATTTCATAATCTCGTCAATGATAATGCGACGAGGTACTTGATGCGCTTTTTTTTTTTTTTTAGTGATAAAATAATCGTTAAACTGTCGAGTTTATCTTAAACATACAATGTAATATGTCTCATGACGTAGCAACGTTACTTATGAATCTGATATTTTTTCCAGATACGATATGTTCAAGTGTCGATTAGCCGGTGCTTCGTCGATTCAAGCCAATTGGGTTTTACTGTTATCAGTCATGATAATATTTTTCCCCACTCAAAGAAGATGAATGACATTAGTCATTTGTAAGGCAAAGTATGGATTATTATACCTCCACGTCAGCAACTGCAATTCATGCCGTTTATACCGTCCATTATATACCGTCCATTCTCAAGTGTAAGTTATAACGTAAGATATAATGCCGCGAAAAAATGAATGAGAGGATTACGATTCCAATTATTTCCTTAATATAATGATAAACGTATAATAAATAATTTCTATAACTTTTTATACATCTATATATGATACATAAAATATATGTAATATATTGAGCTTGATTTTTGCGATATAAACATATCTGCATAACTTTTTTTTTCTACATTTTATGATGATGCAGCATTGAGAATGATATATCTATCCTTTTGTTCGTTCCACTGTAATTGTAATTATACTAATGGCACTAAAGATCTGATAATAGTACAACTGCTCTAATCCATGCTATAATAAATTATATTAGTTTGATCTTTCTTAATTGTAGTCCATGTATAATATATAAGTGGATTACGTTTCATAGAAATGCCAAGTTTTGCTTACATTGTTTACTTAAACGTTTTAAGTTTTTATAAAATAAAAATAAATTTTTACACAAAGTTAAATTTTTAATATACAAAATAGTATGTTAATACATATAATTGTGTTAAATCGAAATCTTAAAGTGTTCAGTAAGAGTTGAATGGTACAGTTAGTGTCTTTATATGTACATATATACAATTATAAAGAAAGTTCATACATATTTATATCGATTTTTATATTAGAGGAGGCAATCCAAAGGCAATACTTTTTGCAAACACAATATACACAAAAGACTTGTATTATGTATGTTTTTAATGCAAGTATATGTAATCCTAGGAATTATAAAGTTTATAGGTATTATAAAGTACAATATTTTTAGCCATTTGTAGCTTTTAGTGCCTTATATAGTTAAGATTAATTATATAAATGCACACTCAGAGAGAAGTATGAGACATCACATTCTCTCTGATTAAAACTACATTTATAAAGTGATCATAATTTGTATGTATGTTTATTATTGAAGCTATAGATGTATTTTTACCATCGATAATTTCAATATTGGAACTTAATAATGTAATAATAATTTTTACATAAAAATATTTTGTATCTTTTATATGAAATAAAGATGTCCTATGAATTAATATTCAAAAGTTATATGTATTAGTCAGTTATTAAAATATTTTACATTTCTCTTAACAATCATTTTCATTAAGATATGCTTGTATATTAAATCCTAGGGGATTCAGTAAAGACACAGAGTTGATTGTAATATATTTACATTTATTATTCATCAAGAAATTCTCTTATATATTTAACAAATTATTTAGTTTATATAACATGATCTGCTATTAATATAAAACTTGAATTACTTTGGCAAATGAGTTTTACTTATTTTTTGGCTTACTGAGCTTGCTGTTCCTTACTAAGATAATGATAATTTATAAATCTACAACCTTGTGTAATCTGTGCACCCTCATTGACAAAGTGGCAGGCGAATAGAAGCATGTTGCGTGGTTGCACCTTGATTGCAAATCTCATAAACATTGCTGAGTATAAACATAAAGCTGAAAAAGATTAGCACATTTCCTGAAAATTGACACTATAAGTAGCAAATATAATAACAGATTTTCCAAGAGCTGGTCTGATTCTCATAGCTTTCTATAAATCTTATGACAAAATAGAATATGAATATTCACAGCTGACACTTATGTATATTATAATAAAGCAAGTACAACAAATTGGAAACAAATAATTGCATAATATATATAGTGAAAATATCAATTGTAAATTTTTCATTCTACACTTACTGACTCTATAAATCATTTAATATGTACCAGAGATAAGCAGCACAACTACTACTGTCTAAGCACTAGCAAAAAAATCTGTTTTATAATAACAAAAAAGAAGTGAACACAACTGTATTTACATATTTGCTTAAACTCAAGGAGAGACTTGAAAGCGACGAGCTAAGAGAGTGATCAATGAATAGAAAGCGCTATAGATCGAACCCCTCGAGAATATCAAGAAACGCGATACGTGGCAAGGTCCAGTGAACTAACCGAAGGTCATTTTGCCGCTGATGAACTTGGGGTCTCTCTGGATATCGGAAATGGCAGCGATCGGTATCGCCCAATTGGCGACCGGCCCCCAAAAGTGCGTGCTGAAAGCAGAATATCGTCACTCGCACCGTGAGTGATAATCATGCACAGTGCGAAATATCACCGAGTAGTCGAACTGAACGATAACGGGGCATAACCAGCACTCGCCTCATAAAATACTCGCGAGTCTCCTTGCTTCTGAGAATCTTCATTAAACGATTCATCTTGAGGGTTCTCGTGAAAGCACGCTGACGAGAAGAAAATCCGCATCGACTGCGTGAAAATTCAATATAGAATCCCGCTGACGGAACGGAGCCGATGCACAGTGGAAGAATACGTGAGGAGAAAGGAAATCTCACTGAGAAACGGGCCGATGCCTGCCTGGGCTCTGCCGATCGCTGCTTGACGCTAAGGGGAACCTAAACAATTACCATTGAGTTGCATAACCGCACGTGAACCACCCCGGTCGGACATAATGGAACGTTGTGGCCACGCAGAATGCACAATAATGTTTTGAGCGTTTATGCCAGCACGTATAGCGCGATCCCAATACGTGATACACGACCTCCAATCGTGCGATCAACCAATCGAGTAGCGATAGGATATTAGTTGTGTTCAGCAAAAAAGCGCTCAATAAACGCTTTGCGCTATGCTGCCAACCGTTGTAAATTTTCTGCTGAATGTACAAATATCTATGAGTACGTTCCGAAATCAATTTTGGGTAGTTTGAGAAATATGGAACTGTGGTTTGAGTTATAAGTGGTCTGTTCTTTTCAGCTGCACTGCTGCACTGGTGCAATAAGTTAAAGTGAAATAAAATATATTTTTCTCACTCATAGGACGTAGGAATATCTGGACGGAGCGTAAAGTATTTTTATGGGTGCGGGGTGTGAAGCCAGCGCGGTGAGGGGAAAGCTTCGTCGCGGCCATCTTTGGTGATCAAAAGTGACACACACCACCACACACACACACACACACACATATATATAATATATATATATATATATATATATATATATATATATATATATATATATATACGACATATGTGTATATATCAGACTTCTATATACTACTAGATTGCTAACTCCTTTATATAGGGTGCTTCCAAAATGTCCAGGTTTGGATCAAGTTGTTAGTTCTACTATAGTATCCGTTACATATACTATAGTAGAACTAACTCAACTCAATCCAACTTTGGATATTTCGGAAGCACCCATAGTGCTATGTAAAATTGGCTGCATTCAGTAGACTCAACAGTTGCACAACAGTTGAGTAATTTGTCAATGGCCGCGTTCAGTAGAACAAGTGATCAGTAAGCGCTCAGTGAGCTCTTACATCTGATTGGAGTATAGTTGGAGATCTAAAAGAATATGCCAAATCATATACAAGAGCTCCCTGAGCGCTTACTGATCACTTGTTCTACTGAACGCGGCCAATGTAATTGGTCTAGATTTAGGAATCTAATAGCAAGAACCAATAATCGTTGATTGCTCACTGAGCGCTTTTTCTACTGAATGCGCCCAATGATACCTCTCAAACATTCGCTGACTTGCCATAATAAACGGTCTTTTCGTTTTCGTTTTTCGCGAAAAACACGTTATGTCTGTTATTGTCTGTTTTCGATAGATTTTAAGGTATATAATTATTAAAAAGCATGAAATATTACTCCCTTACAAAAAAGTATTACTAGCTCTGATAAATTGGCCAATAATAAATTATTATTGCTCTGTAATTTTATTATTGATAGGAGATATAAGATTACTCGTATCAATAATAAAATCACTGAGCAACAATAATTTATCACTGGCCAATTTTTTACAGTTAGTAATATTTTTTATAAAGGCTGTACAAAATATTGATATAAAAAATGTATTCTATACCTGTTACGTTTAATATTTCTCCTATTTCTTTCCAGGAATTGTTTCTTTTGTTAATATCTTTAAAGTCTTTTGATTTTTTGTTATAAATATGCGGGTAACCTTTTACGAGATCCACTAGTAATGAATCTTCCTCTCTTGAAGTCAATGCATTAAGCATTCCGCTCTCATTTTCCTCATTTTCTAATTTTTTAAAATATTTGTTATGATCTTCCATTTTAACGTCACTAATTTTTATTATTTTTACTGCACTCTACAAATTAACAGGAACACCTAAACAACCTGAACATATTTTGTTTCACTCCAACTTATTACACTAGTTCAGCAGAACGGTTAAAAAAACAGACCAACGATACAGTGGAATTAGTTTGTCATCTTAGTGAGAATTCGAGTCTGACATTTGATTGGCTGCACATAGACCATATGCATAGAAATTTCGTTCTTATGGATCTTTTCATTTCTTATGCATATGTTATGCTTATGTTTATGCTATGTTATGTAAATCAATATGGCGACATAATGCTAGATGCTCATTGGTCCATACAGTCTTATGCTATGCATATGCAGTTATGTCAATTTGTGTGCGATAGCCTATAGCCCTAAGAACCGACTATGAACAGTGGGTGGAACCTGATACGATTGGATTGGACCTGACCACGATACGATTGGACACAGATTGTAATTATTGGTTTAACCTAGTAATTCACTAGATAATTTTTTTCATCGGTTGGTTGTGTCCAATCGTACCGTGGTCAATCGGGACGCTCCCAATACCAGTCATGGTTGCGTTCCGTTTCACGCATTATGCGCGCATTGCCTACAATATATGTAACATGAACTATAGATAAATGCGCGCATATGCGTGAAACGGAACGCAGTCCATGTCATCCTTCTGTTCTCGTAATAAGTGGCAGCGCTGGCGCGTCAAGCAGTGGTTGTCTCTCTCCTGAAGTTAGGACGCATTCCGAAATCTACAAAAAATCGGTGCACAAACCTTTCAGATCACGAGTGTACACAGAAATGCACAAAGTGTAACGTTGTACACGACTCGATTGGAACAAAGTGTATACTAATGTGTACGTATGTCGAGTAAGGTTATGGCTCCTGCACAGAGGACGCGGTAATGCTTGCCGCGCGGCGGAAATTCGCGCGACAGCCAATCAATATGCTGCTTTCCGTAATAACCTTCTAGCTCTTACGGAAATACAACATATTGACTGGCTATCGCGCGGACTTCCTCCGCGCAGCAAGCATTACCGCGTCCTATGTGCAGGAGCCATTAAGATTATTTTTCAACACTATGCTCATGTTTGGTATTTTGTTGTTCATACTTTTTCCATCTTAAAGTAAATAAATAAGATATTATACGCTTCACGTCGCAAATGCCAACCTCTTCTCAAGCCGTCATGCTTATTAACATTGGGTGCTTTCCAGTTGTGTACACTGTGTCACACAAAACCAGTTTATTGATAGCATATTATCTTACAAAATATTTTAGATAATATGTGACCAATAAACTGGTTTTACGTAAGTTTTGTGTACGTGTGTGTCAAGATGTGTTAAGCAATTGGAAAGCACTCATAGATAGGATGATACTTGTGCTGCGTTGGAAAGCAACCATATGTCTGTCTTCATTTTTCTTTAAATGGGATAGAGACAGACACATGATTTAACTGTTAGGGTGCCGTCCCATTGAGCACGGATCGGAACGCCGGATCGGATTTCTTACTATAATGAGCGTTCCGTTCTCTAGTTCCGTTCCGTAAAAGTTTCCTCTACCAGTCCCATGTAGCAAAAACGGAACGGAATGGCGCGTCGGTCGCAAATAAATATGATTAATTCGTCAATATTTCGTTATTTTGACGCGACAAAATTAATTATATACATAATTTATGCAATTACCTTGCCGATAACATTGTCATGAATATTCTGAAATATTTAATTGAAGAGTGAAATATATTTTATAACTAGAAATCCGTTCCGTTTTTGCTACATGGGACTGGTAGAGGAAACTTTTACGGAACGGAACTAGAGAACGGAACGCTCATTATAGTAAGAAATCCGATCCGGCGTTCCGATCCGTGCTCAATGGGACGGCACTCTTAGGTAGCTTACCGAAAAGTTGGAACAATCGGTCCTTAATTATAATAATTGATTGATTAATATAGATATTTCTCTTAAACGTATATATATATATTTATTTATTACGTATTTATATTTATTTATTACGTATATATATATATATATATATATATATATATATATATATATATATATATATAT